ATATATTATATATCTATTCTATACCATAGAACTGTACACTGGACTTGCTTTTAATGTAGGACTTTGACATAAAAACATCCACTTAAAAAATTGCACTTCCAACTGTAAAAGACTGATTCTGGGCTGACATAAATTAGAGACGCATGGATTATGTTCTGACACTCATACTCAGCTAGTGACACAAAACAGTTTTAGTGACGTACATGAGGAACATTAGGCTTCCTGATACCAGCCAACCCAAAGGGAAGTGTGTGTGTCTTAGAAAAAAAAAAGAAAAACTTGATAAGTCAGGAAAAGGACGGAAGAAAAGCAGCTGCTTTCAGAATGGCAGCTCTTGAGAAAGGATACGATGATCCCTCTCAACAGCTATGAACGAGTAGTGGAACAGCTCACTCGAAAGGGAGGGATTCTTTTTTAAGAATCCTGTGGATGTCTGTAAATATCTCACAGGAGACACTGAAAAAAAAGTTACCTGGCTTCACTTAAGGGTTTAAATTGTATTTTACATGCATATTTTTAAAGTAACTAGACTTTGACACACAAGTGTTTGCTCTTCTACCAGCATAAGTCGGCTGCAGCATTCTTCCCTCCACGTCCTCCATCTCCTGTCACCCTGCCCAGCAGCCGGTCGCTGTGAAATGCCTCTTTCTACGGACGGGAAGTGCAGAAACTGAGAAGTGTGACGCGGTCTGTGCATCAAGGTTAGACAATTATTTCAAAATAAGAAAATAGGAAGCTTTCTTCATACTGATTGTGCATTCTCCTTTTCCACAGGAAGGCTCATGATACAGAATAAAGCTGAAGCAAAATGACTAACAGACAACCTCCCTAGATTCCTGGTGCGAATCTACTGTGGAGAATGAGGCAGAAGAGAGAAGAAATTGTATTGCTGACTGCTGCTAGAAGGGTGGCGTACTCAGATCAAAGAGATGCAGTGTGTGCAAAGGATTATTAAGATGACAAGGGATTTCCAGCTTGAGAGCCCGTAATGGAATATGAATACCAATTTTAGTGATAGTACTTTTAAAATGGTCCTTGATTTCAGGATAACATCTGCAGGCCATTATGGCCAACAACTTTCAAATATTAGAGGAAAGGCTTTTGTCGAAGACTTCACAGGAATAGAACACATCTGCTCACTCGGTAGAAAGCCAGTGAGCAGCACACCAGCATGCTGATGCTGGTTCCTGTCTGTGCAGGTCTCACAAAGCCAGAAGTACTGCTAAGAGTGCAGTCCACGGTGTTGAAGCTGGTCTCTTCTTCCATTTATTGTGCATTACTAATGGAAGAAAACTCTCTCAACAGATGGCTTCCATCACATGTCACTCTCCTGTTCCTTAACCTGTTTCCTATGGTCTCTGTGTTTCCCCACACGGTATGAGCTATGATCATGAGTCACACATCCAGTGACTTCTTCTAATGATCTTTACTCACCACTTTGCAGCAGAGGGGCCAGAACCACCAGAGCAGACCGAGTGCCACCAACAGCAAGAGCACAAGAACAGCGATAAGTGCTGCTACTCCACTAGACTGCAAAGAAAGCAGAAAGACAGCGTCAGTGGATGTTGAAAATAATTGCTGCCTTGTTTTCCCACTCACCCCAAAACAGCTTCCTACTGACTGATGCAAATCCCAAACAAACTGTTCCCATTCCTCGGATCCTGTTCTTGCCAATGAAGAAGCTCCTCACAAAGGATCGAGAGGAGGTCTCAGCCAAATCCCCGTTTGGCACCAGCTCGGCAATACCCTCCGTTGTAAGTCTCAGCTCCAGGAGTGAGGTAGCAGGTAAGCTAGGATGCTTCAGCAGGGTCTGTGTATCACAGCGAATGATGTATCAACACTAAAAAGAGGGAGGAGGTGGGAGGTATGATGCTGTTCATGTTTCGTTCTTGTGCTGCAAGTCTCAGGTGTTCTAAGGGACTAACAGAGCGTGCTGGTCACAGCAGTACTGACGGACGTGGTAAACTGAAAATGACAACACTTTGAAAACTACTTTATTCTGCTTTCCTCTAAACCTAAGTTCAAAATCAGTCGTTCAGTCCCGGGTAGCAGGCCCAGCTTGCCCTTGGGCAGGCCAGGATTATTCCTCCCCTGCTGGAGTCTGTGCATTCGTTTTGATGTGTGATACCCTTGAGATCAGAATGAGCCCAAACTTGAAGAGCAGAAAGGGTATACTGACTGCTGAGGAACGAGCTGCTGGACACTGCAGGGACGGTTTCCTCCTGAGCTCATGGATGAGAGGTGCCCGTCTCCTCCCGTGGGGACACGGGTCGGTATGGATTGCTGGGTGTTGGTGGGTGGGATCTTCACTAACAATACATTTATTGTAGTCATGCTTTTATGCCGATGGCCCACACACCTGGGGCATTCACACTGAATCCCTGTAGCCGTGCTATCTGAACCTGAACCCACCGTCCTCAGAAAACCTGAACGAGCGTTCCTGCTTCCAGCAGTACTGCCTTTAATGGAGAAATGAGCAGCCCATCTCCCCCCGCCTCAAACCCACATCCTGTCGGTGGTTTTGTTCTTATACTTGGTTTTCCGTGCTGCTGTGCTGACTTACAGCAACACTGAGAAAAATGCAACAGGGACCTTATGAAATAGAAGTTATTCAGAAAGAGAAAGGAGTTAATCCAGGGACTCACTAAGGCTGGAGTACAGCACGAGTAATTCTGCCACAGCGAGGAGAGCTGTACTTCAGATACACCATTGCAAATGAAAGCTGAAACAGAGCCTTGTTCAAGGATATGTAGGTGCAGTGAGGCATACATGTTTATGAGAAGTGGGTAATATGCATGCCTTGTTGCCTAGATGCAACGTGTTTTTTGTTTGTTTTCACTGCAGCAGTGTGTGTTGGCCAGGGGAGGCTGGAACTTCTAACTCCCGTATACCAGCTAGCCATCAGCTGCTCAGCTATCAGAATTAGTGGAACAATTCTAGCAGTGACCCATTTCTTGCAGTTGCCCATCTGCTACTATGGAAACCACAGTTCTCCTTGTATGGAGCTGTCTTTGCTGCAACATGTACGAAAGGCAAAAAAAAAAAAGGACGATGAGAGTACTAATCCTGCTGATGCACATCTGTACTCATTCTGTTTCCTGTTAGTGAAAACTTTTGACTAGAGAAAAGCACAGTAAGAGTGCAGCAGAGGGAAGACAGCCTTACCCAGCAATTTGGTGTGATGGGCTTTGCAGGGATGCCTCGTTTTACCTATCTGTGCAATCAAGGGGGTATGGGGACAGACTTCACATGTACTGCTTTCTCTCTGAAAGGACTAAGATCAAGAGAAGAGCAGTCTGCTGTTAGTCTCCAGCACTGTCCTGAAGTGAGCACACTGAGAGGCTGCTCCATCATGCTTTGGTGTAAGATTGAAATGTTTCCAAATGACAGAGAGGCCCTTAACCAGAGAGACGTGATTTGAGAGCTGTGTGCTGCTTCAGCTGTCAGTTCGTTCGGGCTTTCTTCCTGAAACTGGAAGGCTGAACTGAGATGACTTCCATTTCTACAGTTACCCAACTATTTAGTTTTAAAAAGAACAGAAGAAAAAATGTAATTTTTTTTCTCTTTTAGGTTAATTACCTACAAGCAGTAACAATCCTGTTGGAAAAATACATGCTGATGAGTGGAAGGTACTGTTGTGTGTGCTTCTCTGCCTGACAGGAAAGTTGCACTAAATTCACACTTTAGATGAGACAAATTTGGATAAATGCAGTATCCAAGTGCAGCACATTTTCGAAACCTTTATCCCTACACAGTGGTCTTGTGTCTAGCTCCAAGAATTTTAGCTGTCCTGCCTATGGAATACAGAAGAGAGAAGAAATTAATGTATGCCAGAAATGTGAGATAAGAAATTTTATGTATGATGTTAGAAAAGTCACTGACAGCACAGAGGAGGAACGCGCAGACACTGCTTAGATCTCAGGGCAGAGCAGGCTGCACTAGCCTGGGAGTGGAGGAGAATTCCAGGGCTTTCCCTCCACGTGTAATTCTGCATATGGTCTAAATGAGCAGTGCCCGAAGCAGCCAGCAAGAGCTGCAGCAGCAATGAAAGGAGAAACCCTCCTAACAGAGCCTGTGTCAGAAAGCAAAGGTAAGTGTCCAAGCCTGCCACTAAGAGATGCCTTTCATATATTATTTTTAAGTCTCAGATGATGCATACAGTAATACTTCACTTATGTGAAATCCTGCAAAAAAGATGTTCCTAAAATAAGGCTGTTTGCCACCTTAATGGGAAGAATTAAGGGAATTGTTTTATAAAACTGCAGAAAAAAATCCTGCCTGTAACCCCCCCACACACATATCATTAGGGGATTCAAAACAGATGAAAATTCTTTGCTGTGTGTACTAGTATGATAAACCAGATTCTAAGCGTGTCTCAAAATACAGAAAAAGTGACTTAGGACACAGAGATATATATGTATGCACCGACATAAGAAACCATGTACCATTAAATTCTATGCATTCTGCACGTTTCTGCACAGGTAGATTTTTCGGTGAGGTGGATTTCTGCATTCTCAACATCTAACAGGACTTGCTGTGCATTGAGGTACTCTGCGCTGAGAGGTCATGCAATGGTAAAACCAACAGAGGAACTCAATTTCAGGATTTACATTGAATGGTGTTAGCCATTTACTTACACATTCTGAAGCAGTGATTGTTAACGAGCTGGAAATGAAAGACTGCCCTTCATTCAGACTCACCAAAACTTCCAGAGTTCTGGAAAGAAACAGGGGGAAAAAAAATCATCAGCCATAGAACAGTCAATGGAAGCACAGACATGCTAGGGAGACACTTGTACGCACAGCTGCCAGCAGAGAAGGCATTCTACATCTGAGAAGTGACTTCACAAAAACCAGAAAACTAATGTGAGTACTGTGTGGAATCGGTTCTGGTAGCCTCTGATGACTTTTAAGCGACCAAGCTACTTGGCTGTTAAGGGGTGGACCTTACGGCTCCCAGAAACCAATTTTTGGTCCTTTCAGACTGAGCTTTCTTTTCCTCAATTTATGTGGCTTAAAATGAACAATACTAAATATGTGCAGTCTCCTGCGAGTACTGTTGATTACTATTTGGAAATAGTTTTAGTCTTCTCAAATAGAGAGCTTTCTGAGTAAAGAACCTCTCTTCTCTGTGGTATAAAATACTCCAAAAAGTTTTACATAAAATAAATTGAACTGTAAAAATAACATTGTTTTGTCTGTTCCATAAACATCTCCTTAGTCATACACAGACATTATGGATAAAAATGTCGGATAATTATAAATGGTCAAGACTGTCTATAAATAGTACATAAACACTGCATACAAATAGTATGTGGTTTACATTTTACAAATTAACCCTAGAAGAAAACAACACATGGTGAATGTTAAACATAAGAAGACTCTTCAGCTTCTCTGGCTTGGATTCCCAAGATTCAGACAGTTTATATTATGCATAGATGTAATTAAATAAAAATATAGATATCCATGAACTAAAATGATTAATCATTTATACCATTTTTCTGTGTCATGAATTTTTATTCTGGCACAAATGCTTTAGTCAATATGGAGTTCAAAGCTACTTTAACTAATTTGGCTAATTTCTTTTTCAGTTTTAGTAAAAATGAAGTAAGTTACTTCTGCTAAACTCATTTTTAAATGGCTTGTATTATAAATAATTGATCTAACAGAAATAATAACCCTAATTTACTTCCAATTATTACTGGAATAAGCAAATCAAAACAGATAAAAAATTTAAAAAAATCAATAAAATTCCCTCACAACTCACAAAATAAAGCAAACTATACCAAAACTTTTCTTAGTGATGAATTTTGAAAATGTGATGCTTTTTATTATTTTTTTTTTCTTTTCAATGTTTTGCTTTGCCACTTCAACGAGAAACACTGTGGGAAATCTCAGCATGAAAATTCTGCTCAAGTTTGACGGGCAAGACAATCCCACTGCCTTTGGCGGGAGAGGCTCTCATTCTGTGCCTTTTCGTGAGTACGCGCTGTGCTGCTGAAACCCAGCCCAAATCCTGACAGGTGATGTTTAAACGCCTAAATCTTTTGGAGATTTGCGCCTCATGAACGCATCACAGGAAGCATTTTTCTGTCCAAGTCACTAGCCTACGGCCCCGTTCAGTTAGCGTGGCTCTTTCTGGTGTCCTGGGGTCACATCCTTCTGCCCCCTGGCCATGCCCCTGCATTAACTGTGACTGTACAGGTGGAACTGGAAAGTGGATTCAGCCCATAAGCACCGAGGAGTCCGCAGCACACACAGGTATTTTTGGATGGCAGCTTTTCAGTTAAGCACAAATTCCAAGAGGAAAGATGAAGCTCTTACGTGTTTCCTTTTCTGCCATTAGCACTGTCTTTTTAAAGTGTGACTTGGAGAAACACACCACAGGCTCCGCACCAACCTGGCTGCCCCAGAGAGGGCATTCACTGTGCTCGTGTTTCATAGGATCATAGAACCATTAAGGATGGAAAAGACCTCAAGGATCATCAAGTCCAACCGTCAACCCAGCACCACCCAACCCACTAACCCCGAGCACCACATCGACACGTTTCCTGACCCCCTCCAGGGATGGTGACTCCACCACTGCCCTGGGCAGCCCCCCCCCCTGCCCGGGCCAGCCTGTTCCAATGCCTCATCACTCTTGCAGTGAAGAAATTTTTTCTAATATCCAGCCTAAACCTCCCCTGGCACAACTTGAGGCCAGACAGACAGTTACTGAGAGGGTGAGTTTACCCACTGAGCGAGCTCCTGTCGCCCTCTCTGGGACCGACCTGTGGTGCCGGGTAGATCCTCGTTCCCAGTAACGCCTCTGTGCTCCGTTCCGGCAATACAGCGCCTCTCTGGGACCGACCTGTGGTGCCGGGGAGATCCTCGTTCCCAGTAACACCTCTGTGCACCGTTCTGGCAATACAGTGGGCCCCAGAGAAGGGCACCGGTACCACATCTGTCTAAAGGGGAACAGGGCGCAGCGCTGTAACTCCCACCCACCGCAGCAAGAGCTGCTTTCGGGTCCCTACTGCCAGAAGCCACATCGCTACCATCAGCCTTCACATTCCCCAACCTTCAGCTGTCAGATGGTCTGACAAATATCCCAAGCAGCAGGCTCACTGAACACGTCAGCTATCACGGCAGATACGGTGCAGTACCAACAGCCAGGGTCTGTATCAGCTTCCTTTTGAGAACAGCTGCAGGGATGAGCCATCTGAGCTTTTCACTGGAGTTATCATACTCCTTCAGTCCTGGAAGCCACAGAGTGAACTCATACAGATAATTATCTCATCTTCAAAAGGATGAACCTGTCAACATACAAAACCACTTCTTTCCTGAAGTTGTTGTGTCTGTAGGGTATAAGAAACGTGTTTTTTTCTTTAGCATCCACCTGTTTGATGAGAGCTATGTGTACTTCCAGTTTATACAAACACTACCCCTTTGAATCTGGAGTTCCAAAAACTAGGCACCCTATTTCTTCAAACATCCGAGAGAAAGCCGTATGCATAAATACATCCCGTGTTTGCTAGTAACTGTCCGCGTGTGTGGGGCTTTCAGCCCAGCTCTCTGCATAAGCTGCAGGTATTTTGAAAATAAAAATGACCTCCAGAAGTGATTACATTTTTGGGGCACCTTCATTTCCCTGGTGATTGTCAGGGTGTTGTGAGTATCATGTTCGTTCAGTAAAGCTCACGCCAGCGGAGCACCGAACCCTGTGTCACCAGAACACATTTCCACGTCTTTGCACCTCTGCTGATGCCTTTTTCTGCAGACTGGTGGAATACAATTTAAGGGCTTATGAGACCAAAGCAGTTTTTGATGACAGGCTTAGATGACAAACCAAGAGCAGCACGGGCTGCAGTCAGCGGGTCAGAGGAGCATGCCTTCAGCCTCCAGTGTCTCCACAGGCACTAATGCCCGGTTTGGTGCGTCTGTACGGTCAGTCTCCCAGCAGTTACTGACGTGATTTACATGACTGCATCTGTGGTATCTCAGTGCTTTCCAAACACCCAAGGAAAACAGTCTCTCCTTCTGCTGAGGTATGTGCAGAGCACGAGACAGGAGGAGAGGTGTCAGTGTCCCACCCGAGCCCCGCTGGAATCCTCCCTGCGCATCCGCTCCCACCCGAACAGCACCGCTGTGCACGCGAGGGCAGCCTGTCCCTGGAGTTAAACAGACCCTTTGACATAACTGGATTTTTGCAAGGCAAGGGTAGATTGATACGGCTGTACCAGCACAGACCTAAAACAAGCACTGAACTCTCGAAAGCTGCTGCAAAACAGAGCACCTCCTCCGGTCAACCCTGAACAAAAGAACAACCAAGAACAGGGATGTGTAAATGTTGATGTTGCTGTAGCAACCCAAGAAGACATCCTCCAGTGCCCAGCGAAACCTCGTCTCTGCGGTGTGACACGTTTGCAGTGCAGGTTTCACAGCCGCACGCAGGGGAGGAGGAAGCAGACCCCACGGACGCTAACCAGAGACTCTAACAATCGAGCCCACTCACTGTGCACAAATACCCAGGCCTTCCCGCAATTACACCGAGAACACAAGGAGTCGGCCAGCTTCTCCATGTCTAGCTTGAAAAACACAAGCCTGCAGGGAAGAGCGAGTGCAGCCCTTCACCCGGCTCCTCCAAACACGGCAGAGCCCAGCTCCCGCCTCTTCGTAGGGCTTTTATCCGGGATGCTCCTTCCTGTCTTCCCATCACTTCCAAAGCAGTATCAAAGAGATGGCAGATGAGCTAATAAGCATGTGTAATTAACATGCTGCGCAGACAGTCACAAACTCAATTGCTTTTTACGTACCACAGGTCTCATGCAATTTTCCTGTGGTCCATGCTTTTAAGGCTCTTTCACTGTAGTAGGAAAAACTGTGGGGTTTATTTACAGTTCATAGAATGAATGTGGAAGAGATTTTTCCTATATTTTGTCTGTGAAGTATCCCTTTTTGGATGGGAATCAATCCTGGAAAACTTAGTCTGAAAAGAGCTTTTTAAGAAATGTTCCTGTTTATGACCCACAAGACTCTTGCAATTTTAAACTGCATCAGTCACAGCCCACTGGCCATTCCAATAAATAATTTACCAAAAAATGTAACTTGAGAAGATCCAACAATCACAAGTCTTTCTTTCTTTCTTTCCTTTATGTCCACTGCTGTTTTATTGTTACAGAAGAGGAACGTGGCCCACTGCCATATGTCCCTACAGCTCTGGTCTAAAGAATGTCATAGCCTGTGAAATACAGCTGACATTTCAATCCACCGTCACCTATTTGCAAAGTATTCATTTGCTCCTTACTTTATGAGTATCCAATAAAAGGCTGCCATTTTATGACCCATTAAAAAAGATGAAAAAAATTAAATAAAATTGTGAAAGACATTTGCTGGAAGTAATAAATAATTTACCTCCAATTTTCCCGCACTGAAAATTAAACTGGCAACTGCTCAAAAAGTTATTAAAATTATGGTGACTAAAGGTATTTTAGAATCAAGTGCCAGCATTAAAATAGCTAAAATGCTGTACATAGTAGGAAGGAAAAAAAATAGACCTATGTGTTTACAAGGGTGCTTTCCCTTAAAAAAAATACTTCCATGAATTAATATATAGCTTTATTAGTTACTATTGGTACGCCAACAGGAAGCATGCATGTGTGTACTTAGGTGTTCTGACTGTATCTACACCTATTTTGCGTACATATATGTTCTACAGTTTGAAGGAAAAGCTCCATT